TGCCTACATCAGGATCATTTCTTTGCTTGAGGAAGCTTGTACCAAAGGAGCTGTCCTTAAATGGACTTGATATTATCCATCCAGCCACTGTGGGAGAAGCAACGTCAGGGATTATTGCCTTGGGTTTTCCAGGAGAACCAACTCTTGAACCATCAGAATCTCTCCGATTTCCTTCATCACAATACTTTCTATACTGCCTTTGTGGGAGGACAGGTACCTGAATCTCATCATCATCATCTGACTCTGATATGTGCTCTGAATTAGATGTAGTTTCTAAATTTCTTGATGCTTCTTTATATTCATATCTTAACACTTTTGGTGAGGCTTTCACGGTCTGCACAGGTTGTTGATATTTTCTTACTGGCAGGACACTGCTAACAATACTAACATCCTCACTGATGAAGGAATGGAATTCTTCCTGAGAAGACACAATCTCTGGTTCCTTTTGAACCTGATTTGTCTGAGCATTTATGACATGTACATTATTTCCTCTGTGCTTGGTCACTCTGTGCTCTATGTGTATTTCTTCTTCTTCTGAGCTTTCTGATATAACTATGGTCTTGACAGTTTCAGTCCTTTTATTTTGCACATATCTGGGAGACGTACAAGGAGTGGAATTATTAGAGTCGGAACCTAGTATTCTATCTGTCCTGAGTGTGAGGGATGACACGTCAGACAGACCTGGCATGAGACTCTCCCGAACTTGATTTGCTGGCCCGCCAACTGTTGTGCTGTTGAGGGCCTTATTATTTGTTTTTTTCTTAGTGCTTCTCATAATATCTGCACTTCCAGTAATTATGGACTCGTCACACAAGAAATGACTATTTTTTTCATTTGGACTACAAGTTTCAACATCTTCCTCCACAATATTTTTCAGAGGTCTGTGAGTCCTAACCTTCTCAACAAATTTCCTAAAACCAACAGGTGCACTATTAACTTTTGTGGAAGTTGAAAACTGTGTCTCATTTTGGCTTTGACAAGTATAATATAGATGAGGAATCTTCTCCACTTTAGGAGCTACATAACCATTTTCTTTACCACAGAAGTATTCAACAAAACTGCCATCATCAATGTCTGTGTAAATGCTGTCTCTCCTGATGCTTGGTTCCTTGCATTCCTCTTTTCTATTTCTCCTTCTCACAGTTACATTAGAATTGTCACCCTTTCTGACTGGCTCTCGTAACAATGCTTTACTTCCTTGATTTGGACTGTGGAGTGTACTTGTGTGCAACACTTGAAAGTTAACTGTATTCTCTGGATCATCATACAAAATATCATCATCCCCTTCTGAGTCTGTTTGCTGCGTTAAACTTTTCTCATTCACTGTCCCCAGGCTGACTTGATTGTAGCGGCTGTAGTTTCCAGGGAGCTGGACATTTCTATTTCGGTGTAAATCTCCCGTGATTTGGTTTTCCTTTTCGGCACATGTAGCTGGATGCTGCTTTTTATCTGGAGACTTTGCGGTCTTTAGGGAGAGCTTGTTTGATTCTGGTGAAGGAAAATTAAGAGATGTATGACCTATACAGTAGGTACAGTAATTACATGTGATGAACTGACTACCATCAATATCTCATAACTGATATCAAATTTCCTTTTGCTCAATAGACTATTTCATTTCTACCAAAATATTTTTCTTAAGAGTGTGATGCTTTCCACATAATTCACTCTATAAAAATAGAGTTGGTATGTTTTCTTTACTAGACATATCATGACCAAACTTCAACCCAATGAGGTTCTTAAATTATTCTCATGGTACTTAAAGAAATCCTACAGTAATGACACCATTAGTACAAGAGAATTAAACAACTTACTCTGGCTTGCAAAGATACGTCTTCTCCTGGAGGACCCATGGGGGCTCATGCCAAAGGGGGTGAGTGGCAGGTCAGCAATGTCCATGGACAACCGAGTTGAATTGATGCTGTGCCTGGGCGTCCCCATCTTAATCTGCCCAGGAAGGAGAGCTCGTTAGAAAAATTACCTGAAATGATATGGTTTATGATAAGGGTGCATAGAAAGTGATATAGTTGAAGGATAGTATTATATTTTCAGGTAGATCTCAATTTTCAGTCTTGTGAACCTCTGACTTCCTTAATAAATTCAATTTCATGAAAAACATTCAGAATGTAGAGACTAACCAAAAACTGTTGCTGACAAGTCTATCACATTTACATTAAAGGCAAGCTTATCACTTATGCTCTCCTCAGTATACCTATTGAAATTTGAAACTATATGTAAAGCAAATATTTTTACACATGTACATTTAAAGATCATTAACCCATTCGCCACGGATTTATGTTCTGTCCCCTGTAGTTTTTGGTGAATTTTGTTACATACAGATGGCTCCACATGTACTCAGCCGGCAAGGAGTCTATCAGTAGGCCCTAGTTTCTCGTTCACTGAATTGGCTGGAAAATTAATATCCTTGCTTTCGATACTGTTATTATTGTTATTGATGTTATGATTATTGAATTGTCATTAGAATATTTTTGACAATGAAATG